ATACTTATGCTTTGTGCCCGTTGTGTTGATGCTGCGAGGTAGGAACGAGGACGATAACGGTAGCTTTAATTGAGACAAGACAGTTTATTGCAAACCACATGCGGATAACGCAGTTCATTACGAACAGGGTGATAGTAACAAGTTTGTAGGTTGAATTGATTTTAGCTTGAGTTTGAGTGAGGAATTTTATTTCGCGGAGTTGGCCACAATTATATGGTATCTTATTGCAGTTAGAGCTGATCGAGAGTCGAGTGTTGACATTGGTCTATGGTGATAGTGTACTTTCGTTGTGTCTTTCTCAAGCACGTCTATTGCTCGATCGGATGTTCGATGTTCGTGCACGTCTTTGCAATGATGCACATCCTGAAGCGAGCACTCATAACCGATCCAATTATCTCGAGATTGTTGCCCTTGTACGTTTTTTTGACCCGATAACCTTAATTCATTCTTCAATTATTCGCCAAAGTTGTTCAGACTTATCCATCATTACTCAGCCAAATGGTTATCCAACTGAAAAGTTGCCTATAAAAAAGCTTACAACAACTCTAACAGTTGATTAAGCAGCGTGATTAACTAAGAGAGACTTTTAAGGCGCTTATAAACCTATGCGAATGGGACGTGAGTGTACGTGCGACAGCATATCGCCTGCTGTGTTCCGTTTGTGTGGCACTGAACGTTCCTATTGCGGCACGACTTCATGTTTGTCTTCTTCAAAAGCATAATTACCAATTCATTTCATTGAAGAGTGCGAGTGGGACTTCAGATCACAAAGAGCCGTGTAACGGAAGAAATACGTTCTTCTCAATGTGTCATACAAATTTTGCAACAACTGATTGAAGGATATTCGAAATGAATAGTTGAAAAACGTTTTAGTCATTGGGTTTGATCATAATGAGGGTCAATAATAATAAGTGATTACTGATTGAATCATTAGCTGAATATTGCACAAAGAACAATGCTTTCAGCAAGACACACCTTGTCTCTTTGTACCAGCCAATTCCACGCGTTTCCTATCACCAATACTCAATTCGCTCGTATCGCACATGCCGAATCTTTTGCTGCATCTAATACCAAAAATATCACTAAACAAATGTGTTCCATTGATTGCTCCCCTCAAGGTGAGATCATTGTTATCAAATATGCGATCAACTATCATTTGAAATCAAATATGCGAATTGACATCGGATATGCTCAATCAGAGCAGTGGTTCTTATAGGGGATGAAATTACCCATTTTGGGTAATTTGGAGGTGTCAAGAAGTAATGGAGGGGGTCGGGAAATTAGTATTTCGTGCACTTGTTATGTTCTGATTGAACGCCATTGTGAAGTTGTTGTTTAACTTACAATTAGGTTAACTCTTTATTCTTCTATTTTCTGAGTATCATTACCTTGTCCGGGCCTAACAGAGTTTCCTTTCGTTTCAACAGGGTTTTCAATCTTTTCCTTGCTGTTGTAATCGCTCTCATAACTGTTATCACCAAAAGCGTTCTCTTCTGCTAATTTCTCATTCAATTCACTCAACAATCAAA